ATGGAGCCCTTGTTTTATTTCCTGGTTGGAGCCCTCCCCACAGTTATGTTCACAGGGCATGGGTGTGTAGGCACGAACTGCAGAGAGCGGCAGGCGACATCCCCACCACCAAGCCGTGAACTTCGAGAAGGCAAATTAATTAGAATATGAAATACAGTCTCTGCTTTTATTCAGACACCTGAGTCTTTCCAGCTCACCCCATTTGGGGGGAGGGTTTTTCGTTATTCTAGTTGAATGCAATCCGAGCTCTCTGCTGCTTTAAGGCTGCACCTTCAAGACTAGGGTAGGGACACGCTGGCCCCCTAGACACAGGGGCAAGGGGCAAGGTCAGAGAATCCCTTTTCCAAGCCTGACTTGCCTACTAGCTTATGACATTTCCACTGGAGGAGCCAACTCCAAATGCTGGGGTTGGCATTTTGGGCAATTTTGATTTCAATGAAGCCACATTGCTGAGAGAACGGGCCACCCATGACCTCCTGATGGAGCTTTGCAGCCAAGTCCCTTGTACATATTCTCTCGTATTAGAAACTGTGTGTTTATCTAATCCTGGCTTTTTCTTGCACATCATTAATTTGAGTGCACTTCTCAACTGCCCCGATTTTTGACGAGGGGTTGTTTTTAATGCTTGTTTTTATATGAGATCTGACTTCTTGATGGACATTTGTATTAGGACATTGAAGCATGATATATATGTATATATTGTCTCCACCGTCTCTCCTGTTGCATTACTTGGATTGCATGAGATAGTGGGGTGGTGTTTTTTTTTTTTTTTTTAAATATTTCCACAGTGTGCAAAGTGCTGGCACTGTTTCTCCCTCTCTCCCCTCCTTTTCTCCGGCTGCCAAGGAGTCATTGATTTTGATTAGTTTCACTGCAGAGCGTCTGTGAAGAGAGAGAGAGAGGGAGGGAGGCTTTGAAATAAATTTTAAAAAAGACCTCATATCGGGTTTCAGCAGACAGCAGTGTGTGTGTGTGTGTGTGTGTGTGTGTATGTGTGTGCGCGTGTGTGTGTATGTACATGTATGTGTGTGTGCGCGTGCACGCCGGTGTAAAGCAGAGGGAGGCCTCTGAGATCATTGTTTAGGTAGCTTGCTGCATAATGAGGTGAGGAGCAAACAGAAGGGCCTCCTCCTTCATGATGGTGCTGATTGTTCTCAGAGGGTGGGGGTCCAGGGGCCATAGGGATCGGAGCCTCCTGGGACTTCAGCATTCCAAAGTAGATCTGGAAGCTTCTCTCCCCTACCCCGTCTTCCACTATGAAATAATATCTCTTTCCCCCTTTTCAAATTTGGGTTCCATTTCATATTCCAATTTGGCATAGATGTAGCTTGAGTAACAGGTTTCTTGGGGGAAGCCCATGCGCCTCTTTGGCTGCTGTCCATGGTCCTAGGCCATGACAGTCTCCAAGGACGCAATTCCTATTTCCTTCCTCTTTCATGGACACACTGGAGACTTCTTTTCCGCTTCTTCCAGTGGTCTCATTTTAAAATTCTTTTCTGTTTTGATGACAATGCTGTCACAGAACAATAGAGCTGTGACTTTGATTTCACAATTTATGTATCCGATCTCACGTACTCCTAGCTCAGTTATATCATGTTTTGACAGCGATGAAATACCACTTCCTCTCGCTGGGAAATCGGGGGAGTCCTCCTCTGATTCTACACAAGTATCTTTTGGGGACACTGGTTTGCCATTGTGGACTTTTTAAGTGTCTACCTGGTATTAGAAGCTGCAATGTTGATATCAATTCATCCTCTAAATGTTCCCATAAATCCAACTGGGCCAGTCAGAGGGTCAGAAGCTTTGATGGGGGTGAGGGAGGACAGGCTAGATGCCCTGGCCTAGTCCCATGGGAGCTAATAGAAAGAGGAAGTTGATGTCAAAGTGTTGTTTTAAAGCTTAAACTGATAGTTTGTTTTTGAAAATTTAATCTGTTCCTTCAACACTTGTTTATTGAGCACCTACGCTGTGCCAGGTTGTGGAATCCCATCTGGGAAGAGACTTATTCATCGTGGAGGGGCAGCCCTTTTTGGAACAAATGATGCTAACTGTCCCTTCTCAGTCTGGTTCACAGTTTTTAACAGATTCGTTAGGTCATCACTATGACCCCAAGCCCTACTGGCAGATCGTTCTATAGTATTTATATTTACTGAGTGCCACGCTATCATGAAGGCATTTAGAAAACCTGCAATCTCAACTCATTCCCAGCATGGAGACACTGGTTCTTGCTGCCTCACACAGCAAGGAGAGCCGCCATTTACGGAGTGCTCGCTGCTCCCAAGCACTGAGCTAGGTGCTCTACGTGTTTCCCCCTCAGTTATTCCTCGGCCCACTCTGCAAGATGGAACTGTTATTATTCCCATTTTACATTTGAGGAAGCCGAGGCTCAGAGAGTGTATGCAACTTAGCCTGAGGCCACACACAGGGTGGAGTGGCTGAGCCAAGATTTGGACTCAGGCCTGCTTGATACCCCAAGCCCATGAGCTGACCTGTTATGTAGGAGTCCTTCCTGAGCTGGTCCCAAGGCATTGTTAGTTCAAGGGCAAGGCCAAGCCAGGGGCCCAGCGGGAAGCAGGGGAGCCTGACTTAGGTCCGCTGTGTGTTGTATCTGGGGACACTGCAGGGCAGGCTGGATGGTTTACTTGGGGTTTTACGTATTTATCTCCTCTCCTTTGTGTTCCTGATTTCTATAAGGTCCCCGAGAGGAGCATCTATTTGCAAACAGGGCCTGTTTGACTTACTTCCTAGGACATGGGAAGCTTTTCTTACCTCCTTTCCTGTTCCCTCCCCCACCTGAAACCCCAACTTACTCCCAAGGTCTTTTGCACTATAAGCACCCAGGAGCCCGTGTGTGTGGTGTGTGGTGGGGATGGCTGTGGGATGTCTGGAACCTCAGTGAGGCCTCTGGCTCAGCTGGAGAGGCAATAAGCTTGGGGACATTCCGTTCTGGGTTCTGACCTTGCTGATCCGTTTGCTCTTTTGTAAGAGGAATTTCATACCTTGGAGACGCTTTGTACATATTTGTAATGACTTTATTAAAAAATTGGTTGTGCACTTCTAGCCGAAGACCTTTGTGTTTTCATTTCCTTGTGGAAAGTTGGCCCTCAAAGATGATGGGAGGATCTGGATGCACACCTCAACCTTCGCTGGGGCAGAAGGCCACACACTCGCCTCCCTTCTCTGCCTCATATTTGAGAATCTCCCCAGCCTACCCAAGTGAGAGTTGGCCTAAACAGTACCCTTGGATTAGGAAACAGGTCAGGGGAACCTGCCCAACAGTTCAAGGTCAGTGCAGAAAACCATCACTTATGTATGTCATGGTGTAGGTAAGCCGATGAGCCTGCAGTCTGATGTCTCTAACACTTGGCAAATGGGCGATGGGTGGGTGCTCTCACCTGCATCACCTAGTCTGAGATGTACCAAAACACCAAGTTCTAGTCTCTTCCTAGGAATGGTGGGTTGAGGATAGGTTGTTTTTCTAGAAAATAGATCCGGTCTTTTTCTTTAGGGACCCGCCCCTCCCCAACTCAGTCCATGTGACTTAGAGCGGTTGACTGCATCCTCCCGTCCACCTCTGTCCCCACCTCCTAAGCTCAACACCTGACCCAAACCTGGCCAGCCAGCGCTCTTGAGTCCCAAAGGCTAAATTGATTGGTTTGGGGACAAACTAACGAGTCAACTAAAGTGATTGCTTTGGGGACAGACTAATGAGTCAACTTCTGACTCCTGCTAGAACTTTGGAGAAGCAGAAGCTCTCTTTGCTGGTCTTGGGAAGCTGGCAGAACCTAAGTGTAGGGCTGCTGGAGGCTATTGTACCACCACACGGGATCCGATAGCCTGAAGATCAAACCATCAGAGGAAAACAGGATTGAGGGCTGAAAAGCCACAATTCCAGTCTCATCGTGGGAGCCCCTGAATCCAGCTATACCTGCAGCCCTTACTGTTATACGAACTAAATAAAGTCCTTTCATTTTAGCCATATTTGGAGTTGGTTCTCAAGTAATTGCAACCAAAAAGTTCTGCCTGATGAAGTTCTTGTGATGGCTTCATAATGCTGCCCTGAGAGGCATAAATTGTCACCTAGTGCTATTATAGCTGACCCTTGAACAATATGGGTTTTAACTGCATGGGGCCACTTACACGCGTATTTTTTTTTCAACAAATACTATAGAGGTATTTTCTCTTCTTTATAATTTTCTTAATAACGTTTTTTCTCCAGCTTAAGAATACAGTATAAAATACATGGAACATACAAAATATGCATTAATCAACTGTTTATGTTATTGATAAGGCTTCTGGTCAATAGTAGGCTATCGTAAGTAGTTAAGTTTTGGGGGGGCCAAAAGTTACATGTGGATTTTCCACTACGCGGGCCGTTGTTAGCCCTAACACCTGTGTTGTTCGTGGTCAATTGTAATTGACGTTTTAAATATCCATCGTAATCTGGCACCCAGAAAACCCTTCTTAAATCAGCCTATACATGTGATCTACATGTAGTTAACCACTGTTGTGGGCACTGTGGATGCCACGCCCAGATCCCTTGTGATCTCTTCTACCAGTTCTGTTTCATCCTGCACCTTGTCAGGTACTTTGTGGCACCTGACACATTCAGAGGCTTGGGGCATCCTCAGTGGAGTGCCTGGGTGCCTGAGAGGTCCCTTCTAGCAATCAACCCATGGCTAAGGACTTACAGTGTGGAGTACAAAAGTCTCAGGGTGGGACAAGCTCTGAGATGCAACAGAGGCTCCAGAACCCCCTGTGGGATCCAGAGGAGCTGCAACTTCACCCTCTTGTTCGGCCTCTTGCCCTTCTCTCTCCTGTTCCATTCATTCTCTTACTGGCTGATCCCAGGAGGACGTCCTCAATAAATCACGTGACACACGACGGGATCTGCTGTGGGGGACACTCAACAGCAGATGGCCGCTCGCTGCACGAAATGCTTCTTTGCATTTCTCCTTCGCATTCCTCAAGAGGAAACAGAAAACTCAAGACCATGAATCTAAGTTTCGTTGACAGATGATATTTATTGGCAGAATGGAACTTGGGGACATTAAAAACACCAAAGGTGGCTCTGTTTGACCTACGGCAAAAGTACTTAAAGATTCCAGGACTCACTTTACATTTCCTCTTTCCAAGCCGAGTCTTAGCAGCCTGGAGGTCTCCAAATCTCTCTCCCTCTTTCCTCTGGAAGGTGATAAAACTGTTACATCCAGGCCCAAAGCATGCCTTTCTATTCCCTCACACTTACTATGCTCAAGATCTTCTACATCAAGACAGCCACCTCCAAGACTTCACGGAACGTGGGTCAGTGAATCACAAAACATTACGCACAGCGTACTCCAATCTGATACTTGATTCACTTCTCCTTAAAACGGATGAGATTCAGAGGCCAGGCAGGTATAGGAGAGTGGCATTGTTTTTCCCTTCCGATGGGGACTCTTGGCGTTGACACTTGTGTCAGGGAATATGTGCAGCTTGATGTTTGGAAAACTCTGAACTGGCTGCTGTTCCTCCCTAGAGCAGAAGTTAAATCCTCCTACCTGGGAAAAAAAAAAAAAAATCCTCCAGACAGGACTTTTCCCTGGAGGGTAGGGGATGAATAAATAAAATCCTAAACTCAATCATCCCACCTGCCCCAGAGTGTCTCCCACATGTGATACTCTTTACAGTATCAGGAACATGGCTTGTTATTTGCAGAATGTCGGAGAATTTTTTTTTCGGTGTGGTATGAATGTAACTGACCAAACCATTAATCAACATTGTTAATTTCCCTGGTTCCAGCAGATAATACACTATGCTACGGACAAGTGATTTCCCAAAGTCATGCGGAGTTTAGAACCAGAATTCCAGGCCTGATTCCCAGCACACTGCTGTATCTGCTCCATCGCACGCTGCCGCTTTAATAAGTCTTCTCCAGCCCCAATTTCTCATGCCTCCTTGAAGGCATCTGCAGGAAGGGAAATCTTTCTGATAAAAACCAGTTGCAGAAGCTCTTGGGGCTTCCTCTTGGTTCCTCCTCAAGGTGGGGTGAATAGAGCAGCCATGTCCACTGAGCCCCTTTTCCCTCTGCTTCCCCTTCTGACTTGATTATTCAGGCAAGTGGGATTGTAACATCACGGCCATTGCCATAGTAACAGAGCTTGAAAGATGCCACGCTGCCCTGGAAGGGATGTCTTGCTGGGTACCAGGAAAGAGCTAGGGATGTCGGGGAAAAGAAAAGATCCTGGCTTGATAGCACACAGGGACGAATGTCCTGAATCTATTGGGGTGGGGGGGGGGTGGGCATGTTAACACTGGCTGAGCGCAAAATGGCCGCAGGGCTCCCGCCATCTCTCCTGGGGCTTCCTTGCCAATCTGCTCACTGGCCACCCGGATTGCTTTCTGTGTCATGTCGTTGGTGCTAGAACATTGTGCTGAGGCTGACGAGGAGAAAAGAGAGTTGGGAGAAAGCTAGAGCAGGCAAGATTCCAGTGGCTTCTATGTGACCACCCGTGCCATCTCCTCCCAGATTTCGAAGCAGGGAGGGAGGCTGCGCTGTTATAGGGATTAGTAGCTCTGTTATAGAGATTACAGAAACACTGATCGCTGCTGTGCTTTCTGCCACCACCCTGGCTTGTGGACAAATCGTCACATAGATTGTCCCTTTTGCTCTGAAGGCTACCAGGAAAGAGGAGATGTCCCCAGGGGCTACTGACGAGCCTGAGACTGTGGAGAGAGGAAGAGGACAAGAGCAGAGGGAGGAGAGAAATACAGATGAGCGTGGAAATCCAGCGGGGTCTGTATTTGGGCCAAAGCTGACCCTTCTTGGTACCCACACATGACTGAGCATCCCAGCCCAGAGCTTGGGACTCTGTCTTTCTGTGGGCCCAGACATAGTTAGACTTCAGGAGCGAGCATTCGCTATTAGCATTCTCAACGCAGTATGAACTGAACATGCTATGCATCTGGGCCACCCATGGGTATCAAAATCACCTCTTATGCTTTAAAAAACCACATGTGCCAGGCCCCACACTTGCAGTGTCTGAGCAGCGGGTCACCATGGGGGTTATGAATGCTCTGAAGCTAGATAGGCCTGGGCTGGAAACTCGGTCTGCTGCTGCTAGCTGGGTGACGCCGGTGGAGGTACCACATTGAGCTCTGTGCCTCAGTTTCCTCAGGTGTACAATGGAGGAAACAACAGTTCCCTCACCCCTGTTGTGAAGATCATGGGGTCGTCCAGGCAGAACGTACAGCGCCATGCCTGGCTGACTCTTGGTGTCTAAGTTTCTGTGGGGATAAGGTGGGGCCCGGCGCTGGTGTTTGAAAGACTTCACAGTGACCCTCGCCTGTGGACCCGGGCCCCCTGGGGGTAGGCAGCGATCTCGAGGCCCCGCCCCAGTTTGCAGCATCAGATATTATTAGGTCACCTCGCGTTAAAATAAGCAACAGGCGGGACTTTGTCCATTCCTGGTTCCTTGACTTGGAGGGCGGAGGGCGTGGGAAACCGACCTGGGCAGAGACCGAGTCTGAGTTAGGAGGCTTCCGGATTGCAGGAGGATGCGCGCACGCTATGCCACGGGGCACGAGAAGAAAGTGAGGGTGGGGAGCTCGAGGCGGGGTGTGTGGAGCTGGCTTTAGGGGAAGAGGTGGAGAAAAGCAGGCAGGAGGTAGGACGGTAAGCGCTTACAGCCTGCTTCCCAAAACGTCCCCAGCGCTGGACCCGACAACACTGACCCGCCGTCATCTCCCCGGGTGTGCCGCAGCTTCAGCCCTAATACACCTGGAAGTGTGCTGAAGTGGCCCCGTCCTTCCAGCAGCGCAGGGTGTCCACGGCAACGGAGCGACACAGCGGGCAGGTGCGCTCGCGGTCCAGCCAGAGGCAGAGGCACTCCTCACAGAACACGTGCTGTGGGGACAGCGACGAGTGCCACCAGAATCTCAACCCCCGAAGGCCCGCGACGCGCATGCCCACCTTGGTCTTGGGCTGCAGCGGTGAACAAAGCAAGTGATTCTTGCCCTCCCGGAGCTGGCACTCTAGTTGGGGAAGACGGCTGTCAAAATAACCTCTAAAATGTGGAGTGTGTCAGTTGTTTAGTGCCAAGACGGAAAAGCAGGGAAGAGATGATGGGGTGTGCTGGGGGCAGGGGGGTGCTGCAGTGTGAAACAGGGTGGCCTGGCAGCACTTCGCTCAGACACTGACATCTGAGTCAGACTTGAAAGAGGGTGAAGAGTGAGCCCTGGTGATATCTGGGAAGAGAGTGCTCCAGGCAGAGGGAACAGTAATTGCAAAGGTCTTGAGGCAGGAGTGTGCCTGGTGTATGGAGAAATAGCAAGGAAGAGTGTGGCTGAGCCTGGAGTGGTCCGTGCGAGGGGGAGATGAAGCCAGCGAGTTGATGGGGGTGGGGAGATGCAGACTGAACAGGGTCTTGTGGGCCACTGCGAGGACTCTGGCTTTTATTGTGAGGGAAGAGGGGAGCAACGGCAGGGCTTTGAGCAGAAGCATGACTTGATAGGATTTTCATTTTTAAAAGACCCCTCTGGCAGCTGAGTGGAGACCAGACCGCAGGGGTCAAGGGAAATATCGCGAGACCAGAAACATGAACGGGTTCCACCGCTTTCCAACTATTACTTGGACGAGTGATTTAACCTCCCCGTGCCTCAGTTTCCTCATCTTTAAAATGGGGATAACAGTACTCTCTTCATAGGAAGATTAGCTAACATTAAAAGCACTCAGACGTGACGATCGAATGCAGGATGTGATTCCTGACTGGATCCTGGAGAGGAGAAAAATCCTAGCTACGAAGGATATTTTGAAGACAACTGGAGAAATTTGAACATTGGTATTTTTTATCAATTTTAAATTTCCTGGGTGTGGTTATGGGAGAGAATGTCCTTGTTTTTAGGAGATGTATGCGGAAGTATTTAGGGATGAGGAATCAAAATGTCAGCAACTTACGTTTGACAGGTTGAGGGGGGAAAATTTATATCAAGAAAGGCAAATGTAGTAAAATGTTAATGGTTTAAAATTAATATTAATGTTAATGTGAACTAGATGAAAGACAAAGGTTGTTTATTCTACTATCTTTCAACTTTTCTGTAGATGTGATGATTTTTTTAAATAAACTTACTTATTTAAATTAGTTTCAAGTATACAGAACATTGGTTAGACATCTATATTATTCACAAAATGATTTCCTCAATTGCTCCCTCCCTCCCCTGGCCCTCCACTTAGTAGGTTTGAAATTTTTAAAAATAAAAAGTTTGGGGAATATGTTAATATAAAAACTAAACAAAATGTTTTATTTTTTTAAATAAATAAATAAATAAATAAGGCAATTAGAACAACATCTGGCAAACAGCAAGTGTTCTGTAAGTGTTGGCTATGATACAGTAATAGTTATGATTATATTCTGTCTGTTTAGCATCTAATGGACGAGTTTGATCTGGGAAGGCTTCCTGGAGGAAGAGCCGCTTGTGTTGAGACCTGGAGGATGTACAAGAGTAAAGAGGAGGGGTGGGGATAAAGTATTCCACTTTATACAAAGTGCATATGGGCTGGAGGGAAGAGCTGTACGAAGCTCCTGAGATGGGAAGGCATTTGAGGCACTCAGGGACAGCTATTGTGGCTACAGTGAGGTGGGCAGAGGGGTGTAGGGGAGAGGAGGTGAGCAGGCCACATAGAACTTGAAGGCCATGCCCAGATCCTGGTCTGAAGGGCAGGACCCAGGGGTCAGCGGGCCCAGTAGCTACCCATGAGGGCACTGATTGTTGCTGTTGCATTCCCACTGCTCAGCCCCGAGCCTGCAGGGTAGGGGCTTTGTAAATGTAGCTGACAAATGAGTGTCAGATCAGAGGGGAGATTCTGGAGATCCCAGGATGATTAATAGCTGGTCTGTGCCCTTCAGGAGCTCAGTCACCTCCTCAGAGAAATAGGCAGGACAGAATCTGGTGCTAAAGTAAGAGAGTCAGAGAACACAGGTCTACCCAGAGCCAGTCATGATCCTGGACCAACTCCGCATCCAGAGAAAGGGCTGAGCCCCTACAGAGGAAGGAGAAGGAGGGGCCCTTCCGGGCTGGGAGGGCAGGACGGGGTAGGTTTATGATCAGTGGGGAATGCAGGCCTCGCTGGGTTGTTAACGGTTGGTTCCCTGGCTGTGTCCCCTGGAGCATAGAGCTGGGTGAGGAGTCCGTGGGGTTGGATGGGCTATTTCGTTCTCACTCGCATTCCATCTGGACTCCTGGGGTTTTGCTCAAAGAATCAGAGCAGGTTCTCGGAGTTACAATAGAGCTACTATTTCCTCACCAAGTGTCTGTAAGGATGGAAACAGGTGAGGCCTATGACAGAGTATCAAGTGTGAGGCTCCTGGAAGCCCAAAATTAATAGGAATCCCCACTATCATGCCCTCTTTCTTTTATACCATCGACACTCAAAAAAAACACACTCAGAGTGGCCAAGAACTGGAGGGCAGTTTGTTCTCTAATCACACTCTGATTCTTTTTAGCAGAGAGTCCTTTAAGCCGAGTTTGTGTTCAAAATGCCTTTTCTCTGACTCCCATGGCCTGGCAGGGGGCATGCCATAAATACTGTGGAGAGACTAACTGGGCAGGTGCGCTCTGGCTGAGCAGAGTGGTCTAACCTCTGGTCACGCTCAGTGTCTGCCTGACTAGTTTCAATGGACAATCTGCTTCCTAGGCCCTGGCTCTCGGGGGATGGGGCTTAGGGGGCGGGTGTGAGTTACACACTGATCTTAACTTGATGACCCTTGGAAGAGGAGACAAGATGTTCCTTTAGCCCAGTGGCTCTTCATCCATCTGTCCTTCTGTTCATCTATCCACTCATCCATTCATCCATCCATCCACCTACCCACCCACCCACCTACCTATTCGCCCACCCACCTACTCGCCTATTCACCCACCCACCTGTCCATCCATTTGCCCATCCATCCAGTCACCCACACATTTATACCTCTACCCACCTACCTTTGCACTTACCCACCCACCTCTTTACCTGGTCACCATCCATCTCCATCCCAATCATCCAATCATCCATCCATCCATCCATCCATCCATCCATCCATCCATCCATCCATACTACTCCTTTCATCTCATTCCATTCAGCCCATTCCATTCATCTATCCATCACATTTCATCCAAACATCCATCAACTTCCCATCGATCCAATATTTACTAACTCTGCTGCTAAACAAGTTAGACGTGGTCACCACTCTCAAATTGCTTATAATTTGGCAAAGAGGAAAGAGACCTTACACAACCAGTTGCCTAGTTAACTATCTGGCTGAGATAGTTAAACTGTGGGATAAGTGCCATGAAGGAAAAACACAGAGATCTATGCAGCCATATAGCTGTGGGGGAAGAGTCAGGGAAGCCTTTATTGAGCAAGAAACATTTGACTCATTCATTCATTCATTCATTCATTCATTCATTAGT